ATATTAGGAAGTGACCCTTTCTACCGGGTGTGAGAGAGGAGGGGCTGGGGATAAAAGAATGAGGAGTTTTTCCCTCAAGCTGTTTCCTCTTGCTGGTGTGATCCTCTTGACTTCTGGCCTGGTGACGTTTTTCTCAGTGGAGTGTCGGATTCTGAGGGAACAGACTGAGCAGTGAAGCTAAGGATGATGTTTCCTGTTCGTTTTGGTCTATGAAAAGCCTTCGGAAAAAAGTAAACTTGTTTTGAATTGAATTTTGCTTGATACATTTTCATGTGAGCCAACTGCGTTGAAATTAATCACCAGCTAATCCCAAATCAACTGCATCTTTTTAAAAACCACCCTCCTTAGTTTCTTTTTAGCAAGTTAGTCACACTCGCACAACATGAGCTTTCTCAGATTGTCACATCAGCGTTCTTTAACTGTGGCAAAGTGGCACTCCGTAAGAAAATCTTTATTGCTTTCAAAAGGTTTTTTAAAATCATTTGTCATCTGTAAGGTCAACCCAAATCTCCATGACTAGGTGAATTGTATCTGTACACTGAATAAAAATCACGAAAAAGTCCTCTCTACTGTGTAAATGTCACAGCTCTAACTAACATTAAGTGGAAGCGTGGCCGATCTTGGGCTCTTTGACACAGCTGTTTTATTCACTGTGTCAAACTCCTTATCAGCATTGTAAATATCTTTAGTAGCTGCAGTATTTCCTGATAACCTTCCCTCCTACCCATGGAAAGCATTTTTTCTTTATTCTTTATCCATAATTTTATGTTGTATAAAATCTCAGTGAGTTCCATTGCTTTTATGATGACTGAACTCCTTCATAGTTTTGTCTCTTTCACTTCTATTGCTGTGTAATATAACAAGCAGGCAGAAAAGTGCACACAACACAAATATTCAGTATCGCAAATAATCACAAAATGAAACTCTGTGTGCTGACCACGGAGATCCCACAGTGGGAACTTGCCAGCACACAGAAGTCCCCACTTACCCTTTCCAGTCACAGCCACGCCTGTGCCCCACAGGCCGCTGCTCTTCTGAACTTTGTGACAATGACCTGGCTTTTCTTTATAGTTCTGCCACTGTAGCCTGCGTCCCAAACAATAGAGGTTAGTTTTGCCTCTTTCTGAACTTTATATAAATGAATTACACCAAAGGCACTGTTTTATTATGTCTTGCCTCTTTTATTTAACGTCATGTTTGTGAGATTCATTCATGTTTTGGGGTGTAGCTACAATTCATTCATCCTCGTTACTGTATAGTATTGTTTTGAATTTATATTCAAGATGTACAGCTGTTCGTCCATTGAGCTCACTATTTACCGACAGAATGGAGTTGTTCTCAGGTTTTCGCTACTATGAGCAATGCCGCTGTGAACATTTCTGGGCTGGGCACGAGTGCGTGAGTTTCTTTAGGGTGACCGGGAGTGGATTTGCTGGGTCGTAGGAGTCCGCATCTTCAAGTCGGTTAAACACTGCCGCCTTCGTTTTCCAAGCACTTGTCCCAGTTTAGACTCCCACCAGCAAAGTACTAGCGCCTCAGGTCGACAGCCCGGGTGCGGCAGGAGGGGTGGGGGGTGATCCAGATAATTGAACTTGGAAGCTGCTCTGTCAACATTCTTCATGGGCCCCTTGGGGATATTGTTAGACAGAAGTTTTATAACTGAGTTTCAGTGTTGCTCAAAGGGAGCACAGAAAAGGGCCTGGGGGAGCTGCCCCAGTTTTTCTACCAAGGGCCGCGTGCTCACCAGCACTCCGAGTTTTTGTCAAGCTGGATGGTGGTTTCTCCCTACGGCTTTATTTGCATTTTTGTGATTACTAATAAGATTGCGTTCCTTTCACATATTTATTAGTCATTTGGACTTTTTCTTTTTGAAATGCTCATCCAAACCTATCTTTTCATTTTTCTTTCTGATTTGTAGGACTTATTTATATTCTGGACACTTGTCCTTTCCGGTCCTTTGCCAGTTACACGTATGAAAGAAAGTGTATTTTCTTGCTATGCTTTACCACAGGTATATTCATGTATGAGGACCTATTTATAAACTTTTAAACAAATCTGTAATGGAATATTCTTGGTTCAAATGTAATATTAAAGGACTTTCGTTTGTGAAATTTACTTTAAATTTACTCTTAGAGCCATAAGGAAGGTCATTTTGTCACCAGAAAGGGGACCGGCAGGGAGCAGGTCTGCCTAGGGCCAGTTCTTGACTTGGTGCAGGGAAACAAGGAAGGGCCTAGGATAGAAGAAGCAACAGGCGGGGCTTCTTTGACTCTCTAGAAATGTTTGTAGGAAAGAAATGAGCCAAGTTGAGGCTGCTTTGGCTCACTGAAAAGTCAGAGAAAAGGGACCTTGGAGAAAGGCTCCAGGGCTTAGCTTGCTCCCCTGGTTCTAAGTCTCATAGGGACCCTTAGAGTTTAGAAAATGAGTGCCTGCTGGGGAAGACTAGGAGGAAGGGAAAGGCGCAGGCTGCCGAGTCCTTTGTTCTGAGGGTTTTTTTAAAGCTGGCGGTTTAGGGGAGATCTTAGGGATGATACCAATTGATAGAATATGTATCAGCTTTCCCAGGTGTGCCCTTTTAGGGTCTTGGTCTCCACTGATTGGTCAGTGCCAGTGCAGGTGGTCATTAGTCGCTGCAGCTGGTCCTGGCTTCACCCACCTGGTTTGGCTGCTTTTGTAGGCCTGAAGCTGAATACACCTGAGGCCTAGATGTTATCTCTAGGGAGGTGGCCTTCCGTATTGCCTGTAAATTGCTCAGCCAATTTGTTCAGGTCTCTGTCTCAGTTTCCCCATTCTACTTGCCAAGGAATTTTCCTAGCTACTTACTGTCCTGGCTCAATGTGTTTGTAATTATACATTTAAATGGAAAATCAATATATATTTTCATGACTTCATTATTTTGTGTAGGTTGTGACTTTCAACAATGACCTAGAAGAATATTTTGTCAGCTTTCTATTACAGTCTCATCTATGTGTTCTTACGTTTATTTTATTTTATATACCTCATTCTTTATTTTTCTGTAGGGGATTACAAACTCCTATTAAGTATAAGTCAAAGAGGAAAATAAAGGGGCAAGTTTTAACAGAGAAATCAGTGTTAAGGACCCGAAGAAAATTTATTTATTTAACTAGGGTTAACAGCTGTAAAGTAATACTTTCTCTTGCCATTTTGAAGGTGTAGAAATAGAAACATAATTTCTTTTCTTATAAAAGAATAATTTCTTTTGTATAAAATAAACAGGCGTCACAGAGTAGGTCTCCCTAATCCAGAATGGATACATTCCAAGACCCTCAGTGGATGCCTAAAACCTATGATAGTACCAAACCCTGCATGTACTATGTTTTTTCCTACACATCACACCTTTTCATTTAAAGGAAGCACTTTGCCTCATCTCTTTGGCATATCGGAATTGCTAGCATCACTACTCTTGTGTTTTGGAGCTATTAAGTAAAATAAGCGTTGTCTGAGCACCAGCACTGCCATACTGGAACAGTCCGTCTGGTACCCAAGATGGTTACTAGGTGAGCAATGGGCAGGAAGCATCTATAGTGTGGATACATCGCACAAAGGGATGATTCGCCTTGGAGGGAGTTGAGGGGGTGGGTGGCTCAAGACTTCATCAGGCTACTAGAACAACGCACACTTTAAGAGTTATGGATTGCTTATTTCTGGAATTTTACGTTTAACATTTTTGGACCATGGTTGACCGTGGGTCTCTGAAACTGCAGAAAGCAAAGCTCATGGGTGAGAGGGGACTACTGTATTCATTTACACATTTAATCAAAATATAAAAACAAAAGAAAGTAAAAACCAGAGATTATCCTTGTTGATGTTTCACTGAGCATGATTCCGGTGATCTCTCTTTGCTATACATATGCAGATAATTACGTGACCTCAAAAAGGGGACTAAACAGTATACATCACCTTGTCTTAGAGCAGGCACTCTAAAACTCTAACACCCCAGGTAGTGTTAACCTGCAGGCAGGTTCCAGGTGGTAACCAGCTGTCACTGCCTCCTCACCCTTTTTTATTCTCCTTTTGCATTTCCAAGAGAAATATGGAAATAGAAAAGGCTTTCCCAGAGGAAAATCATGCTCAGAATTAAGCACATAATTGAGACAGGTCCCAGAAAAGTGATACTTTGGGGGGACTATTTTAAGGAGCCAGGATTGCCAGAAGTATGTTCCATGGAGTACAAAAAGGTACATGAAAAACTGTTCTGTGGTCAAGAAAGTGTGGGAAATGCTGAGGTTAGCCAAGTCAGACAGGTTTCTTCCCTAAAGGGTTCACAATACTTCTGCTGAACTCCCCGGTCGGCAGAGGGGAGTGGCCGGCTGTGGTTCCCAGACATTCAGCACAGAGCTCTTTGTTCAAGAGAATCCCCCAAGTCCAGTTCTCTCTGAAAACTTTAGGAAATGCTTGACTCTAATATATTGTAATTTCAAGTTAGTGTATATAAATAATTTTTTAGTACAAAGCTTGTTCTCTGAAAATAAAAATAAGACATATTCAGCATAGAATGTTTATTAAATAGTTTAAGGTCGGGTGAACAAAATTAATATCGCCCATGATTGTACCACTGGAGATAGCCAGTATTTGATGTATTTTGGTGTGTTTTCTTCTAGACCATTATCTGTGTACATGCATGCATGTGCGTGTATGCGCTGTATATAAAAATATAGAGCTTTGAGGTGTTTTTTTTTAAATCATGGATAAAGAGCATTTTATTAATTACAGGAAAATCTCAGTCTCTGTGATGGAGTACATTTAGAATTTTTTAAAAAACTATTGCTTTATAAAAACTTTTTGACTGTGAAATAATTTGAGATAATTTTGTAAAGATGATTAATTCCCATATATCTTTCACTCAGCCTCCACTAATGTTAACACTATATAGAGTTACATGTAAGTTTTTTCTATCTGCAACGAAGTTTTCTTCTAATTTGCATGAAGACTTTGAATTTTCAGTTTGATAAAGCATGCCCTCCCCTCTGTCTTTCTAGGTTATTATCACAATAGTACCAAAGTGGCTGTAAAAACCCTGAAACCAGGCACCATGTCTGTGCAGGCATTCCTAGAGGAAGCGAACCTCATGAAGACCCTTCAGCATGACAAGCTGGTGAGGCTCTACGCCGTGGTCACCAAGGAGGAGCCCATCTACATCATCACGGAGTACATGGCCAAAGGTGAGGCGCGCCACAGCCCGGTGCTGTTGAAAGACTTAACCCTCAGTGGTAAAGTGTCTAAATGTTCAGAGAATACTCAAATAATTTTAATTATAAAACAGCATGCTCACGAACAAAAAAAAAGTCAGAAAATATGGGAAAACATAGCATTTTCATAAACCACACCCTTGTAAGTAATCCGTATTTTAAAGTTAATATTATAAAGTTAATATATAGTCTTCCTATTCTCCCTGAATTCCTCTCCATATTTAGATTAGCCCCAAGAACAGTACCCATACCTACTAGACCTCCAATAAATGTTTATCAGATAAATACACATATTAAATAAGAGTATTTTATGTTTAAAATATGAGTTCTCAAAATCCTAAAAACAGTTTGCTTTCCTCTTTAGCATTACCTAAATGTTCAGGGTGTCACTTTAAAATGTGAACATTTAAAATGTGAACTTTAAAATGTGAACATTTAAAAAAAAAAATGTCGAGATTGAATTCCTATGTAATCATAGAGAATGAAGAAGAGGTTTAAGAAACCATCTTTTCCCCCGTGGCACTCACTGCCAGATAAAAGGGTTTGAATCACCATCCTCCTTCCAATTCAATATAGACACTAATAAACTACCAAATGATTTTTTAAAAATCAGAAGAAATGAAAGAAGAAACATAAGCAATGATCCAGAATTAACCATCATCTCATGCATAATTATTATAGTGTGTTATTACAGTTGACTAGGTTAAAAAGGGGAATATTACATTTTCTTAATATATGTTAACGCTTCAAAATATTAGTCACTCAGAGTCCTTCCCAAAAGGGACATTCTTTAAAAAAAAAAGACATAGCCTCTATGGGTGAGTTTGCTATAGCCCAGAATCCAGTCTCAGGGTTACACACTTTGTAAGAGTTCAGTAAATACTAGTTAAATAAACTAACAGTGTTATTAATCATAAATGCAAATATTAGTTTCTCCTGATAATAATACTTGACCTTTTTTGAGCACTCGCTCTGTAGCACTTTCCTCAGTGCCTTCCCTGGGGGATCTCACTCAATCCCTTCAGCAATCTGAGGGCTAAGTACCATTGTTTCATGTTGTGGATGAGGTAGCAGAACATTTATTGAGCACTCAGTGCCTGCCGAGTGTCACAGCACATGCTTTCATCTGCCCTCACAAGGACTCTGATATAGCTGTTAGACATGCCCATTTTTACAGGGACTTACACTGGGTCAGTAGCTTGCCCTCAGGTTGGCACTTTAAGTTCTAAGGGAAAGGCAGGTCTTGTTTTAGAGATGAAGCCATAGGAAGCAGGAGAGTGTTTCAGTGGGCACAGGGCCTTTTAGGTAGGTCTAACTTTTTTCCAAGCACACTTTGTTCATCACATACTTGTTGTGCACCTTTGGCATGTGCCAAGTTCTGTGCTGTTGCTGGACACAGGCAGGAGCCAGCCTGGCTGAGGAGCTGCAAAGGGGCAAGCCTGCTGTGATCTCTCACTGTTTCTGTCTCAGAGAAGCCCTGAGGATCCGGTGGCTGCAGTGAGTGTATCTTGGTGGCAGGTACCAAGTGCTCTGAAATGCTTTGCTCTCAGACACTGTCACCCTTTCTTACCTGGAGCATATGTACATTTCAAATCAGGTCAAACGTTAACAGGTTAGAGGGGACTAGGTCCAATTAACCTCAGGAAAAGGCACTATCACAACACAAAATTGAAAAGCCAGTCATTTTGTGAGGTTCCTTCCAATAGTAACGATCATTTGAATTTTATTTGTTTTTGTTTTCTTTTGTGTTTGAACTATGCTAACTTGCTCTTCCTCTAATCAACAGGCAGTTTGCTGGATTTCTTGAAGAGTGATGAAGGGGGCAAAGTGCTGCTTCCAAAACTAATTGACTTTTCTGCTCAGGTGAAGTATGAAAAACCAGTATGTCTGTAAATTTGCAGAGATCTCCCCTGGTTCAGATTGACGAGGAAGGTGCTGTTCTAGCACAAGGCATTTCTGTTTACTGTTTCCCCGAAGTGGTTATGTATACACTTAACCACTTACAAAGGCAGTCTGGGTGTTTTACACAGAATGTGTGTTCATGTGTTGTGACTTTGGATGTCATCTTTAATACACATCAGTCTCTTTATACTTATATTTATTTCTGCACAAGTGATAGGAACAATGCACCTGAATTAATCACTTTTTGCTGCATTTTGAGAAAGCAGTATCATGCAGTGTAAGCTCAGAACCTTCTAAATGAGGCACATGTGGTATTTAAGTTGCTGATCTGATGTACTGATACTTTTCTGTCCTCAATATTCTTGAAAAAAGAGAAATAATATTCCTTTTCTACTCTATCCACCTTCAGTCCTTCTTGTTGGATATGTTAAGATTCTGAGATGCATTAATTTATAATACTTCTAGAACTAGCCAAGAGATTGCAAATGTGTTAATGCTGGAATCACATGTTTCCTGAAGTGTACTTAAGAGCATAGGGAAGTTACCCAGAAACCCAACACTGTCCTTGGTAATACCAAGGAAACGCACATTTGAATGACGGGCCAGCTACTGACTTTTAATAGTTTCATTGTGTTCATTAGTCATGTTCAGAAATATGCTTGTTTCTCAGTATTGGCCACCAGAAGGCCAAGTACCATAAAACCCAAAGTAGCACAGAGATTTCTAAAAGTTCGTAGGAAAGGGCTGTCTTTATGATCTTTGTTTTTCCTACTTCCATTTTTTTCTCTCAGACCCCTTTTTAGTTGGGAAATTGATGTAGCTTCTTGGGAGATGAGATCAAAGGAAAGAATGAGTACATTCAAGTAAGGTAGGATTAACACATACTCTGCAACAGGATATTGTGAGCAGAGCTGGAGTTCCACATCTGAAGACCGCAGTTTGTGTCCTAGCTCTGCCACTCAATAGCCATGTCACTTTCAGGAAGTACTTTCCCTCTTTGGGTTATTTGGTTGATCTATTAAATGGTAATGGTAATGCATACTTTAGGGAGATGTTGTCGAGGGTCAAATCAAATGAGCTGGCATAGACATAAGTACTTCAGAGCCTGTTGGTGGAAGCGGAAGACACCTTGGGACTGACAGTCCCCATCATTCCAGTAAAGGTGTATGATGAAATCATTCTCCTCAGCCCTTATCTCATCAACCAGAACTTGAGGAGTTTAGTAGTTTCTTATTTGAATAGGAAATTCACATGTCATCCGGAACTCCAGAATCGAATATGTAAAGAAGCAAAATTGCTGTAGTGAACTAGAGAAAGGGAAGGGTCCAGCAGCCCTGATTTCTTAACCTTCTCTGACTCTGAGCTGTCCCTCAGAGGCTCTAGAGGGACTCCAAGGGCCTTGGGACCACAGCTGGAAAACCATTGCTCTGCTATAAGAGGAAAGACGCTTGGGTGGATACAGCTCTAGATCCTGGTAGATAAGGAAAAAGCAGAAATCTGATTAACTTGTCACATTTGGCACAGTTGGGGCCCTGGTGTGGTGACTTGGGCGTCCCCTATTGGATGAGAAAGTTGAGGAGTGCAGTAAAGTTTGTCAGACCTGCTCCTCAGGAAGGGAGAGGGGCTGACAGGAATGTAGAAAAGTGGGACATGGGGCCTGAAGGCCTGAGTGGTCCTAGACAGTCTGATCTGTGCCTACAGTTCTCTAGAGTAGTAGAAGTCATACAAATTGGGGTGTGCACTATACCCGGAGAAGGACTTTGTCACATGGGTATTTTGTATTTGATTTTGCATAGCTTATCTCAAAACACATCTCCACAGAGTCCAAGTTTTAAGTCAAGGCCTCTGTATTTGTTCATTAGCTTTATAAATTACTACTGTTACTATAAAGGGTAACTTTTTCTAACTCAGAAAATAACTGGTGGGGAGGAAGGGAGTTGATTTCTACAACCTTGTAGCTTGCAAAGCAAATTATCACAGAGACTGGAACTGACCATGACTTTCAAGTTGTAGGTTTCATTTCAGGAGGGGTCAGGAGCTGTCAGGCCACTACCACTGGTCTCCATTTAAGTGTGCGGAGGCCAGCTCATGCGGGATGAGCTCCTGTTTATTTGCCTCGGAGTTTCCTAGTAGTGACAACTGGTTAGAGTTGGTGGAACATCTGTTTTAGGTGCACAGAGAGTTAGGGGTCAGTAGGACAGTCAGCGGTAAGCAGCACCCAGGAAGTCTCAAAGCAGGGCAGTTCAGCACTAAATGCATTTTTTTTTTTTACAACAAAATACCATTTCCTTTTTGAGTTCATCTTTATTCATGGTGCAAACCTCACCCATGTCCTTCCCTCAAGGTGGAGTTCATGGGACGACCTGATGCCTCACTCTTAATTTTCACCTGCTTCATTAGCTTGTGGCTTTTCTTGTTGTAGCATCGATAACACAAGGGGGCCTGGAGAGCACATACCTCACACCTCCACTTTCTGTTAACCACACACAGTGACCAGCCCCGCTATGATACATACCCTCGATTCCCTTTATGACTGGTGCTACCCAGTGCCCCTCCTCCTTCTTCAAGTACCTTTCTAAAAGGATTTCTCCATACAGAGAAAGTCATCACAGAATTGTTTCTCCTTCTCCTCTCCATTATGTGCCGCTAATTAATACTGTTACTTTTCCATAGTGTATAACATGAGAATAGTAAATATTGCTGAAGCTGGCCCAAGGTGAGAAGAGAATATCTGGTACCCAAATACTGGATAAAATAGCCTTTCCTATACCTTTTCTCCACTTACCGGTTTAGAGTGGAAATAGAGTAAAGCAGAAGAAGCATTATATAAGCCCACTTGGTATTCGAACTCTAAACAATTATTAGGCTTTACAGTATGTTTATACATTGTTCCATTAGCATTGTCGGGCGCATCAGCTGCATTAAAGAGTTGGGAAACTGAGTGTTCACAAATGACGTAGTTGAATCTATCAGTTTTTCACAGTGGCAGATGGAGAATAGAAAGAAACCCGTTTACTTAATCCCAGCACCAACACTAGAAGAATAAGGGAACAGGGGTAAGGGGCAGCACTGGGACTTTTGCCACAGTCTCTCATCTGGCCTCTTCTGCCCTCTCCCCATGACCTACTTCCCCATGCTCTACTTTCCCCTTACTGTTCTCCCTGAATGGCAATTGAGGCAGGAAGTGGGGTGAGTGCACACGGTTGCTTCACAATCACTTCCTGTCTCAGGCTGAGTTCTAAAAGGCACTTAAGGGTCCAGCTGTAATCCCAACCCATCAGCCCACTCACCTTTCCAACTAAAGCAGCTTTAGTTGCCAACTAAAAGCAGCTTTACTCATTTCTTTTCTTCTTGTATTAAATGAAGCATTTTTAGCTTTTTTTTTTTTGGTGCTGAAATAGGACTAAGTTATCCCTTTGCAAAGGAAGTTTGATGCTTTCAGAGCAGAGAGACTTTGCATAATTCCCTTCCAGCTTTTGCTGGAAGGGAACTTGGAAAGAGAAGGGTTGAAATCTGGGAATTTCCTTCAGGAGAAGCTGAAGCAAAATTGTAGACCTGTAAAACTGAGAGATAAATGAAGTGAGAAATTCACAGCTGCAGTATGGAGGTCAGATAAATCATCTTGTAATTCAGGCCAAGTGAATCAAAGCATTTCTTGCTCTTTGGTGGCAACATTCCTGAAGTGCAAAAATTACCAAAAAATTAAATGGACAATTATATATGAGTAAAACTGCGATAAAAATGGAAAAATCAAAGAATATCACAATCATGGCAACAGGCAACGTTCTTTTGACTCCTTCTAATTGATAAAACACTTCTATTCCCAGTGTCTAATTTGAATCCCACAATCTTGAAAGTAGTTGTATTGTTATTTAATACATTTTATAAATGAGGAGGTGACCTGGGACTTGTCCAAGATTATAGAGCTGGTAGGTGGAATTGCTGGACTTGATCCTGGGTCTTCTGACCTTAGATAACTGGTTCCTTCTTCTGTACCTCACGGTCATTCCACGATCAGAGTTGCTCCTACAGTCCTTTTGCATCTGACACTATGCTGATATGTATTTTTATCCCTTTATGAATTTTGCTTATCAGAATTAACAGTATCTTCGGGTTTATTCCCAAGGAAAAGTCTATTGCCAAGACATATCACATAGTGATTATTCTCAAGATATATTTTGTCCCCTAATATTAAATTTTAAGCCACATCTAAGTTGGAAATTGGTTAAAATGATAAAGGAAGGTAAAGAACCCTCAGTCCAGCTCCACGTAATTCTCAACCTTTTGGAGCAGGGAGGCCTTCGATGTCAGAGCTGTCTGAGTACTTCCTTGTTATAGTTATCTACTAAATGAGAAAACAGCATATAGATTCGAAATGCCTTATAATATAATTCTAGATTGGGATCCACCAGTCTTGTCTGTGGTAACTCAGGTCTGAAATGTCTGCAAGGATGGATGTTCTGAGGAAGTTTCTTGAGTATTTGGCAACACCATCAGATGTAGGTTTCCTCACTTTGTCTCTTTGTAAAAAAGCGAAAAGATAAGTTACATTTTCATGTGCAGCTCAAGGCTATCCCCCATGCCACCCCCCACCCCCCCCAATAATAAGGCAACAACTTTGTTTTCAAAACTCACATTAATATTAATCCTTGATTGACAGTGTCATACATTTAATTTACTTAAACTGGGAGAAGAATGACATTGAGATGCTAAATTGGATTCAGAGGCCAGTGGAAGCCTCAGGTGACAGAGGTGGCTTGCGTTTCATCCAGGAAAGCCAGGCCAGACCCCCCCCCCCCCAACTTCACGGTTGATCTCACCTCTTTAAGTAGGAATCCTCAGACCTGACTCTATATTGAGGCTCTGCATTCCCAATCGTTTCAAGCAGGAGAGCTGCCTCCAGGGAGACGGCCAGCCCTGAAAAGATCATTAATTCAGTAAAATCACCTGAGCCAGACACT